AGTGCATTTTTCAGTACGGATTGCAAAATTGGTAAGTTATTAAATGTAATACTGCAAAACATATATTTAGCTAACATTTTGTTTGTAAGATCGTTTAGTAATATGTTAACTTTTTATCATAAATTAAAAATTATGACAGTACGTAGTTTGGGCCACCTTGAAATAAAATTTCAGGGCCACAATGAAACATGTTTCATTGTGGCCCATGGTTAGGGGCCACAATGAAACATGTTATTAATTTTTTATTTGTTTGTTTAATAATTTTAATCTACTGTTCAACGAGGGCACGCGTACTACATTGCTTTATATGATATTAATTTTGTCGTTCAACACTACAATGTGCTTATTGCGATTATTATTATATTTTACGGCTTTATTCAAATTTCGTTTCCGATTTCTACATTTCATGTTGCTATTCTTACGTAGGTATTATTTTGTTACAGTTAGGCACCTACACTAAAAGAATGTAACGGATAAAGGCTTATTCAGTGAAGATTCCATGAAACAAGCTGTAGTTGCAGTTTTAAGTGGACTAAACGGACAAAAAGTATCCTTACGTGAGTGACGCTGCTTTACGGTTTAATGTTAAATATTCAACATTATTTAGATATGTGAAGAAAGCCAAAGGAGCTGAAAATATTGATGATATCCGTATGGCTCCAAAATATAAAAGCCGCTTAATTTTTACTTCCATCAAGAAAAATCCCTTGCAGATTACATGATATGGTGTTCAAAAATATGGTATGGAAAATCCACTAAAGATTTTTCGCGAATTGGCATATGAAATGGCCATTATTAACAAAATAAAAATTCCACCATCCTGGGAACAAAACAAACAGACTGAAGTTGACTTTATGCAAGGATTCATGAAACGTCACCCTAAGTTCAGCATAAGACAACGAGAGGGACGCAGTTCCTTCAATAAACACAACGTTGTAAAGTTCTATGACAATTTAGAAAATGTTTATAAACGTTCAAATGCATTTGCAGATGGCTCCAGGGTGTATAATTTGGACGAAACAGGTACACTAACAGTACAAAAGCCAAAAATGGTAATAACGGAAAAAGGTGTTAAGCAAGTAAGCCAATGTACTAGTGGTGAAAGGGGAACTCTAGTTACAACGTGTTGTATTATAAGTGCCGCTGGAAACACTCTTCCTCCTGCTATGGTTTTCCCACGCAAGCATGTCAAAAATCATATGCTGAATGGTTCCCCACCTGGCACGCCAGGCCTTGTGTCCGATAATGGATGAATGAATGGTGAAATTTTTATTTCCGTCTTCAAACACTTCATTAAATACAGTGGATCATCTTTGGAAAACCCGACCTTGTTGGTTTTCGACAACCACGAAAGCCACTTATCCATTGAAACGATAAATTTGGCAAAAAGTAATGGAGTGATGATAGTGACTTTACCACCTCATTGCAGCCATAAGCTGCAACCATTAGATGTAGCAGTTCTAGCTCCATTTAAAGCCCACTACAATGCAGCTGTTGACTCGTGGTTACTTCATCATCCTGCAACTCCCATGGCCATTTACGAGGTAGCTAGTTGTGTCGGAAAAGCATACGATCGTGCAATGACACCATCTAATCTTAAAAAAGGGTTTGAAACAACTGGTATTTTCCCTTTTGACAGGAACATATTTTCCGACAACGATTTCATTGCGAGTTCCATAACAGATCGCGAACTTCCCATGCCTGATAATAATCAGACTGAAAATCAACACATAGCTGAAATTCGAGGTGAAGTTACACCCCCCAGAGAGAAACAAATTAATAAGATTATTACAGTTAACGAAGTTTTTCCATCAACCAGCACATCAGATAAAATAGCAGAAAACCATTTCATTTCTCCCCAAGAATTTAAAGGATACTCAAAGGCAGCTGCAAGAAAGAACAAAAAACCTAGAACAAAGGGACGTAGCTTCATTCCAACTGATACACCCGAAAAAAATATATTGGAAGAAAAAGATCGCAAAAAAAGATAAAGCAAGTGAAGTCAAAGCAATCGACATCAAATAATAAAAAACAGAGGACAAAAAATGATAAAGATAAGGAAACTTCAGAAGAAGAAATCGACAGCTATGTTTTAATGGAAGACGAATCTGACGATGATATAGAGTATCGTGAGGAAGTAGATCCTTCGGGATTTGAGGAACTGGATAAAAAACCAAGTCTAGGTGATTTTGTATTGGTCGAATGTAAAGCAAAAAAACCAATATACTTTCATGGAAAAGTTATCACTGAGAAAAATCTTACAAATGAACTGGAGATTCGATTTTTGAGAAGGAGTTTGAAAGACGACCAACATTTTATTTTTCCAGTCCTTGATGAATCCTTCATCCCAATATCCGACATAAAAATGATTTTACCTTCTCCTCTAAGTTTAGGAACAACCAAGAGGCTTCAGTGTACGTACAAATTTGAATTAAACTTTAAGGCAATTGATGTACGTTGAATAAATTTGTGGTTTCATTGTGGCCCTACTGCTGTTTCATTGTGCCCCAAATACTGGGGTACAATGAAACAAAACTGGCAAAAATGGAAGTATATTTTTTTTAGTCTGAATATAGATTTTTTTTACTAAAATTAGGTTAAGATATTTTAATTTTCGTATTAACCAACCACAATGCATAATTATTCTTTTTTAGTTTAAAATAGAGATTTTTTCGTTAAAAACAGTAATTTTGTTTCACTGTGGTCCACCCTCCCCTACACATTATGTACAAGAGTGGAAGAGTAATCCTAGATTAAACTTCTACAAATTTGTTCTGGAAGGTGAAAGCCAGGAAGAAAATAGTGAAAACACTTTATGCGAAGCAAGGGAAGAAGAATGTGACCTGAGTTTAATTTTTTGTCCTAATGATAAAAATGCTTAAAAGTAGTTTGCGTTAATAGTTTAAAGTTTACCTTAGAAGTTTTCGCTATAGATATTTAAGTTTTGACGATGTTTAGTAATGCGTATAAATAAAAAGCTATTTTTGAAATTAAAAGCATTGTTTTATTATTTCCAAAGTGAACAATCTCCAGCAATAATTTTTATAACGTACAATCTCCAAATTTATTTTGTAAATATTTTTGTAAAACTGTTTTTTTTTTTCTAAAAATTCATAAGATATTTTTAAAAACTGACCACATTCCAACAAAATATTTAAATTTTAATTATATTTGGTTTAAAATTTTTTTTCGTTTTTTAAAAATGTGGTAAAACTGGAGATTGTACACTTTAGAACTAGCCCCCACAATTTATAATTAATTTTTTCCTAAAATTACTAATTGTCCCACTGCGCAACGTCGGTGTTTATATCTCGTAGTTAGAAATAGGCAGACGTTAAATAAATAAATTCAATAAATCTTATCTTTTTTATAGTAGGTATTCGATGACAATTAAAAATGTATTGATTATAATTTTAAATATGTGTTATTAAATTCAATAATCCAGTTCATTGATGCTAGCTTTAAAACACATTATTTCTTTTATAAAGATCTCCTGAGGTGTCGCTAAGTAAGGAATCTATTTTGTCACAATAAAATTCAACTTAAATACTAATTTAATATATGTTTTTTTTTTCGAGAAAACTTGAAAAACTAGAATTTAATAAAATCGTCATTTCTAAATAAACGGGCATAAGTGAGGCGATAACTATGGTCAACTCAAGAAAAGAAAATTGTTTTGTTTACAAGTTTTCATCGATTTCTGGAATTATACATCGTTTGTTTTCCAAGGTTTTCACTTAATTGCTTTTTCCTATAGACACATCGATTTTTTTTGCATGCAACTTGTAAATACGAAGGAAACGAAAATCATGTCTGGAATTTTTTCGTAAAAAGAAAATCAACAAATATTATAATATTCTATGAACAATATAGTCATTATTGTATTAATTTTCTCTCGTTTTTGAGTTATAATACAAGGAGTTGCTTCAGTCTTCCTTAAATTATAATACCGGGTTGGCTATTTATTTCTGTTAAAATAAAAGATTTCGAAAAAGTCCAAAATCAATATTATATAGCACCAAAGAAGCTACATTTCTTAAATAAATTCAATTATACATAATTCTTTATAGACATAGAAGGCGAGTTCAATAACGCCTTTCCTTAGTCTCTGTTTACTTCTATTGAAAGAAGGTGAATCGACAAATTGACCACCTGTAACTGGATCAAAAGCGTGCTTCGAAATTGGAACATTATTTCATCACTACATGGAAAGAAAGTTATTTTTAGACCCGCCAGAGAATGTTCACAAGGCGATGTACTTTTACCCCTACTGTGCACAATTCTGGTGGATAACCTCCTAGACGATATCTTTCGCAGGAGATAATTTCCAATGCTATATTAGGGAAAAGTACGAAGAAACTAAAAGATGTGATCTCCAACATCCTTCATCAAGCCCTAAATACGATCAACAGATAGTGTGTGGGCTCGAAAATGTCTACTAACTCCCGGAAAACTGTTACCGTCCCATTCACCAAAAAGAGAAAACCTACCTTGGCAGAGAAAATTATTTCTATTGAATAGAAAGTGAACTGTTTGGATAAGAAACTCACTCTCAATTGAAAGCAAAAAATCCATGGGCTCTTCAAAGGATATGCGACAAACCATGAGGATCACTCCCAAACTGGTCTAGTGAATTTTCCAAATCTTGGTAATACCCACGGTTACGTGTGGTTCAATCGTCTGGTGAGTCAACGGATGGCCAGAACACAGCTGACTGAAATCCAGTAAATTGCATGCGTCGCCATCTTTAGGGGCAATGTCAATTATATTTCGGCGCCTCGTTCTCGAGATCTCTAGATATGTTAACTGAGTAGTACCGGTTTCGGTGCGACTTTAAATTAAAGAAAAATAGATAAAAAATAATTTATTTTTCCTCCTGTTGGTGCCACTGCTTATACCCGTGTCTTCCATGTGTCGCCCTCTTTATGTCATTACGTTTTTCTGTGCGACGAAGCCAATACCTTTTATTCTTCGGGAATATTTTTGGTGTTTTTTCAGCAATGAGAAAGTTAGACAAGCGGAAAAATACACGGGATAGGTCTCACGACCGTCATAAGATACCCCGATTGGAAATTGAAGCCTTGAGAAGCAAACTCATCTCGAATATGACCGAGACATGTGGTGGCGTGGTCAACACGTTTAACGAGGACGCCATGACAGTATGGAATACCAGCGCAGTACAACATGGGTAAACCTTCTCGTAGTTCTTCTACAATATCGAGATCAGGCAGTCCACAAGGGTCATATAAGGCATTGACGAAAGCCTATAGCCCCTCGCTGGGTAAGGCCGAGTTATTACTGCCAAGTGCAGAGGACAGCTATAGTTCTATTGATGAAATAGAATCGGAAAACCTGCTAGGCGAAAGTACATAGGTTTCCTTTTTTCCAGCACAAAACCCAGGCTGTCGAAATCTTAATGAAACCATTTTGGAATGGCTAGGTGAACAGGTAAAGCCATCAGATGAAATAATTCACTCAATAATCCAGGCACGCTGGCACACTTTATTCTTTCAAGTGGATTTAACAAGAAGGAAAGATAATTGTTGATAAATATAACATCCCAACTAATATTGAGGGTTTAAGCCCCCAAAAGAAAATTTAGAAATATCAATGGCTTTCCTCAAGTCGATAATAAATAAGGATACATTCCTAATACATCGACAGGCCTAGCTGGACAAAGAGGCCTAATGGCTACTATAAAACAGGCTATAAGCTCTGTGTACTAAACATGTAGACTATGAATTATAGTCCAGTTAGATTCCATTATTCTAAAGAAATAGTCTCTCTATAACTAACAATTTATTAAATTGTTCATTATTTCAGTATCTAAGGGCCACAGTTCTGTTAAACAAAGTTTAAATTATTAAGCGAAGATTAAAATGACATTGTTAATATAAAAATGTCATTTTTAAAATAATAAAAAATTGATTATATGTGCTTCTAGCATACTAAAATTTTAAAGTTATGTAGACTGCAAGGGGTACTAGAAGCTTAATAGAATACAAAATTTGAAAAAGCTGCAACTCCGTGTTAGGAACAGACAAAGTTTAAGCCCAAAATCCAACTTGTAGCTGTGCTATTAATTTAGCAGAATAATTCTGATGTAACTAAAATCAGCTTTTTTTAGCTCTGAAGTATTTTGCATTGAATTTACACAACTGCACAGTCCTCTTAAGAGTTGACGACACAATAACCTTTTTTTACATATAGAATGGGTAGTGGAAAGTTTCCAAAAATTTGGTTACAAGATAGATATGGCATCGTACACAAATTCTAGGAACAATTGGTAAGCCAAATTATAGTCTAGAAGTCTCGAGTGGGAACTAAGCTCAGAAGCATTTAATAAAATCACAAATCACTTTGGATTTCTGTAAATTAATTTGTTTCTAAATGATCGTTACAAAAAGTGCTCTAATTAAGTGTCATGGCACCCAGATCCAAAAGCATTTGCTGTGGATGCATTCACCATCTCTTGGTCAAATTATAAACTTTATATATTCACGCCTGTCTGTTTTAAGCCGCACTATAAATTAACACAAGGGGCTGTTGTTTTTTACCAATTCGGAAAAATCAACCTTGGTACCCCTCGCTTCGTAAACTCCCATGTAAGAAAAGCCTTTAGCCATATACTCAGATAATGACATATTTTGTTCTCTTCAGCCAAAATACATTTTTTAAACGGAATTACCCTGGTGGCAATGATCTTATCTGGAAAGCCTTCTGATTGAAAGATGTTCCAGAGAGCACCATCCCCATACTTCTTACGTCACTGGCACCAACAACATTTAAGACAATATGATTATGCACTTAAAGAATTGTGGCAGCTTTACCACGCAAAGGAGAGGTCTCTAACTCTTAATACCTACCGTCGTTAATCCTTCTATTTGAAGTGGGTAAAGATCTTCAGATTTGCAGGTGCTTTAAAGACATTCTTAGACTACGTCCCCCTCAAAGAAAATACCATTCAACTTGGGACCCAGAAATTCTTTTGAAACATTTTGAAGTAAAACTACTGCTAAAAATGAAGAGTTAATGCTGTAAACACTATCAATCAAACGTTCTACTTTATTAGTTCTCATAATAGCACAGTGCTTGCAACTTTTGACGTATCAAAAAAAAAGCCATTCAAATATAATTTATCAATAATAATTTTAAGATTACTTTACCAAAAGGATTCCAACCTGGGCTTATTGTACCATTCTTCAAAGCGAAATGACTTGTGTGTAGCATCGGCCCTTCACTACATTGAGGGAACAAGTCCATCTAAAAGTTACACACAGGTTTTCTTACTCCTGAAAACCTCACATTACAGTCTGCACACAGACAATATTCTTAGAGATCATTATCAGAGGCACAGGAGAAGACAGTAATTTTTTCAGGCTATCCCGCTATGCACGTAGGTGCCTCAGCAGCTTATAGGAAATAGGAACGGCATTCTGCTAAGTGCTATTCTTAGGACAGACTAGCTGGAGCAAGACATCACAAGTATTTTTTTTAAATGCCATAATTGTATCTTATGCTTACCTTCTGCTTAGGCTAAGGCCATATTAAGTTTAAAATAAGATTTGTTTTTTAGTAGTTAATAAGGGAATTTTCCTTTTTTAATATTTTGGACCGATTTCATATCTATATACATTCTTTTTCTTGTCTAGATGATAGGTATGCCATGTTATGCACTCAATAATATGAGAAATAATGGATTAATTTTTTATATATATGAGTCTCAAAAATGAAGTACCTGCTTTAAACAACTACTCAGTTAACATATCAAGTGATCTCGAGAACGAGGCGCCGAAATATATTTAAACGATCAAACGAACTTACCTGTGAAATTCGATCGTAATTATATGAGGCGCCTCGTTCAGAGAGATCACCCTGCCCTCCCACCTTTTTTTTTTTTGATTTCCCATAATATATGCACTTCCTTTTTGTGAATTACCAGGAACTACTTTAAACATAATAACATAAAGAGGGCGACACATCGACACATGGACGACACGGGTATAAGCAGTGGCACCAACAGGAGGAAAAATAAATTCTTCTTTTTTATCTATTTTTCTTTAATATCGTGGGCTAAGTCGCACCGAAAGCGGTACTACTCAGTTAACATATCTAGTGATCTCTTCGAACGAGGTGCCTCATATAATTATGATCGAACTTCACAGGTAAGTTAGTTTGATCGTTTAACTATACCGACCAGATCTTAACCCCTCTCCAAATTTTGCTGGAGAGGGGGTTCTCCTATAGATTCCTGATGGTGAGTAGTCAATACTACGGGGATTTATATCATATGGACAATACGTAAACACGTTTCTGCGCATGCAACTCCGAACTTGGGTGCTCTGAAGTTTGTTTTCAGTAGCAAAATTGTATTAAAATGTAAAGCACATTAAATAATTTAATAATATCTCAGTATCACACAAAAACTGTTGTTTCAAAAATTTTAATTCATATATTACAACAAATTAAAAAACATGCCTTCACTAAGTTATCTGTACTATGTGAAGATGGCTTTCTGTCCACTGCATGACTGCTAGCTGCCCGCTACAGCGGGGTCCACGCGTGCTATCAACAAATAACATCAAAATCAAACAAATGTGTGGTTATGTTATGGTTGTGGTTGTCGACGAAAACACGTGAGTGAAACTACTTTTATTTATTTTAGTTTAGATATAAGTTATTTAGGATTATTTAAAATCAAGTAAAGGTATTTTGATGCTTTAACACGTTGACGGACACATGTGAACAGGTGGAGATGCTTTTTGTGACACTATTGCAACTTCAGTAAATTTTGCAATATTATAGTAACACTTATATAATATATGTTATTTGCCCTAAAAAAGCTGAATAATATAAAAAAAAACAATAACGGCTATAGACGTCACTGTCACATACTAGACATTTTTCTATACATTTGTAACGTAGACGTCCATAGACGTCGGTATAAATAAAACACTAGAATTACGCAAATGTATTTTTTATTTGAAAACTAATGAAAATATCGAATAATAGATAACGCCAAACCACGTGCTGCATTCTGATTACTGACTAAAATACTAAATGCCAGAGGCCCGCAGAGGCGCCCCGCATAAACCGTTATGACGCCATGTTCTAACTATCCCCACCTCTCACTTCAAATGCACAGAGTCAAATTAGTGTACTTGATATGACACTTTACCGATTTACGATTCAAATCCGACGTCTGTAGAAGTTGTTGCCGAGCTATGGAGGTATTATAAAAGACGTCCACAGACGTCCTTAAATTAAGGTGTCACGGAGCAAATTGTCAATAACGTCTATAGACGTCGTTGTCCGTCAATGGGTTAACATGTCTTTACCAGACAGAATTCATTATAAACGCATAATTTCTAATTCTAATAGTACATTTTATAGACCCATTTCAAAGTAAATTTTAAGAACAAACATTTTAAATGTCCTGATATTGATCAAAGAAAGGAATATTGTCGTATTTTAAACATTCCACTCATTCCACTTATGTGAAAATCATATTTTGATACAAAATCGTTTACAAACACAAATCGTTCAAGACTTCTAAAAGATTTGCTTTGCCTTGCTTTAGCACCCTCAAAACCAGATATACCAAAGATAGTAGTACTTACTAATATTGTTCACACCTCCAAACAGATTACCTGTAAAGAAAAAGTTCATATTAATAATATATACAAAAATATTAAATAAAGCAGAATTTGAGTCAGGCCACTAGTTATGTTGCAGGGTTTATTAAGAAACTTAATAGTTTTGACTGAAAAGAGGGTAAAGCTAATTTACAGACATGTTAGAACACCATCGATACTTTTATTTGTTTTAAAGAAAATGATGATAAAATACGTTTAATTTATGTTTAAAGAAATGTTATTGAATTTCTTTCAAAAATTCATGAAATGCTTTTACCACTTTTAAGTCATATTGACAACATAATTCAGAAAATTAAACTTTTTAAATATACAGTTCATCAAATTTCTAGAGGCTTTCGACGGCTAGACAGAGAAAGCACTACTGAGAGGCATCGGTTGGCGGGGCCGACGGATTTACGCAATGAAAGTACACTCTGCGCATCAAGTATTTCACTATTTTATTCAGACGTAAATGTCAGATGTAAATTTCGCTAAAACATTTCTTTTATTTTCGTTTGTGTTTTTTGCTCATTACAGTTTAATAGAACCTAAG